ACTACGTTTTCCCTTTGAGGGGTGTTTTGATTAGAGTTGTTGGTGTTGATGACGCTAATTTCGTTTTGAGGAGGGTCTGGAAATTCAATCGACAGTACGTATTTTTGAGTGGGGCGAAGAGAGGTCCAGTTTTCTTTAAAGTTTTTTGGGTGAAGAAATGCAATTTTTCGAAGTTCAGTTTTAAGAAGATTTACTGGTTCAGATTCTTCCGGTGAGAGGAATTCTAGATTTGAAGATTCAAAGGTGGATAGAAATTCAATGAAAGTGCTAAGTGCTTCGTTGGCATAGTTAAGTTGAATTTCAGGATTCTTTTCAGAAAGACTTAAGTCTCCTGCACCCACGGCTCTAGATACAAAAAATAGTTTTGAGATAAGGTCTCCTTTAGGATTGGAAGTTCTATTATTAGAGGATCTTCGAGAGGGTGTAGTTTGTAAACGATTTAGATTTGTTGACCTTTGAGGTCTCGTAATACTTCTGACGGTAGAATTTCTGGGAGTTCTGGACCCTCTTGGCCTTCCTCGTGCCATTTTTTAGGGTGATGTTCTTTTTGGATTGGACTATTTGAGTTTTCTTAGGCAATTTAGGACTTTGAATGTACACACAGAGTAGAGAGTTGTCTACAGATTTGAACAAATGTACACTTTTTCTCCCGAGAACGATTTTGTAAATTGGAAGTACAATAGAGAATTGAGATATACACTGAGAAATTGGAATGAATTCACATACACTTGGGGAATTTGAATATACACTGAGAATTAAGAATTCAAGCACACACACACACTTGGGAGAAATTCACACTTGGTTCTTTTGAATAGGAAAGGGAATGAGTATATCTCTTTTTAGTAGTTCAAGAAGAATTTTTTAGATTTATAAGGAAGGAGGTAACTATAATTTGATAAGAAAATTTTCTGATATTATTTGTTACGAAGAGACGTGAAACCACGCTCTGCTACCAATTTTGTTGGGAATAAATCCCGACAATGTAAGATTAGAATTTAGGATTGAAAGTTGTAAAGTGAGGTTTTAAATAAAACACAAGAATTCGGTCGGGCTACGACCGGGGTGCAAAACACCCTATTTTAAAGTTGGTATATATCGAAACACACACAAGATCTCGCGAAAATCTCGAAGAACGTTCGCTGTCGACTCGACGATTCGGACTGCTGAAAAAGGGATGGGTTTGGAAAACAGGAAAACTGTCCTCCAAGGACGAAAAACGGCAAACGGAAGTTAGTAACAAAATACAGCCTTGAAGGCTGTAGAAGGACATCTGTAATGAATTAAAGCCTTGGAGGCTGCTGACCATCTGTGGGAACCAAGGTTTTCCGAGATTCCCACACAGATAAGAAATGAAAGACTAAATTCGTCGGGGAATTCGGGTTCTCCATAGAAGGACATCTGTAATGAATTAAAGCCTTGGAGGCTGCTGACCATCTGTGGGAACCAAGGTTTTCCGAGATTCCCACACAGATAAGAAATGAAAGACTAAATTCGTCGGGGAATTCGGGTTCTCCAAAGCTAGCGTGTCTAATTTAATGTATCCGTTAAAATATTCGCGACAAAACCCCCCCCCTTTGTTTTAACGGGACGAATAGTTCGGTTCGGGAAAACAAAGGGTGGTCGCGTCTGCCTGGGGATTAGCTTTCGTTACTTTTACCTTTACATCATAGTATAAAAGAAGACGCAATTTTCGTGAGGAAGAGTACAGTGAAGTTTGATGGGGTCCTGAGAGGATCAATTTTTCGACGTTAAAACAGTTTCGCGAAAAACAGAGTCATAAAAAGTGTTTGGCAATTCTCGCGCAGCTGCAGACGGTTGATTGGACTCCGACGAGAAACGTATGTCGAAGTCTGATTCAACTTCTCGTGCTGTGTGGGGATACGTCGTTTTCCTGAAGTTCGTCGTGAATTGGGTAATTTCCGGTGCTTTGACGATGGCAAGTAGGGTTTGACGTGCTAAATTGTCGTCATGCCTTGCTTGGTATCCTCCAAAGAGTCGGGGGTCTGTCGGTTGTAAATCAGGTAATTCCGGTGCAGCTGTTGGGGCGTGACGAGGTGTGACGAGTTAAGGAGTCATCCCTCGCCTTGCTTCTTCCTGCCGTACCGGGGTTCGACGGGTATATCAGTTCGAAATTTGCTGGTGTTAGTCAGATGTGACTCCATTTTCGTGCGATTCGGTTGTCGTGCGTGCATCTGACTTAAAAAAGTGCATTAGTATTGAAAAAGTGATTCCGAGATTCTGATTAGTTTTGAAGTTTGGTAACGAAAGTTTTTAGAGCTGGCCAGGCTCGAATACTTAGAGTTCCGTTTGTTGAGCGCTTCAGATCAGTTGATTCTTGCGAATTTGAAGATCCAGTAGTCGTAGGTTTTGTGCACATTCTAGGTTGGTCCCACAACTTGGGCATCTCATAGTTTCGATTTTTAAGCACTTGATTGGTCCCACAACTTGGGCATCTCATAGTTTCGAATTTGCGCATACACTTGATTGGTCCCACAACTTGGGCATCTCGTAGTTTTGAATTTGTTCACACTTGATTGGTCCCACAACTTGGGCATCTCGTAGTTTTGAATTCGGTCCTACTTGGATAAAGCAGGAGCATTTGAATAAATTAGTGAGCTTGGTCACGCAGGATTGAATTCGTAGATTTCTTTTGATTGAAATTTTATATTTCGGTTGTTTTGTGTTCTAACTTAAATAGGTTTCGTCAAACGAGAGCGAATCAAGTGTTTTGAGCGAAATTTTTAAGAAAAGTGATCCATTGTCGTTGAGGAAGTGAAATTTTGATCAAAAAATGGATAACCACGTTGAAAATCATGGTAAGATGGAAATCTTTGAGTGTCTTTGAGAAAGTGGTGTTAAAAAATTTTTAGTTGTTTCAGAGGAAAATACAAATGATTCGGAGCCGTGTGCGCTGGTCATCGAAGACTCCAATTCTCCGGGAGTTGTTCAAGGTATGTGAGCGTGATAAAAGGAGAAGTTTTAGGAAATTCTAAAACAATGATTTGTTTATAAATCCTCAGAGGATGATGAAGATATTCCGATGGAGCCTTTCCCTGAGGAGCACGTTGAAATCGCAATTCCGGGGTACTTAAAGGAGCGAGCTGAAGTTTTCCACAGTTTCGGACCAAATGAGTGGGAGAGTTTAATGGATCTTGCGAGTGTTGTTAGAACAAAGTCGATTTCTTTAATCGCAAAACGGGGTTTGGACTCGGAAGTGGACGAGACTGAAAAAGAACTGGCGAGGGAGAAGGTTAAATTGGAGAAATTGAAAGCAGCGGTAAAGGAACTTGAGGACGAAAAGAATTGATTAGAGTTGTTGGTGTTGATGACGCTAATTTCGTTTTGGGGAGGGTCTGGAAATTCAATCGACAGTACGTATTTTTGAGTGGGGCGAAGAGAAGTCCAGTTTTCTTTAAAGTTTTTTGGGTGATGAAATGCAATTTTTCGAAGTTCGGTTTTAAGAAGATTTACTGGTTCAGATTCTTCCGGTGAGAGGAATTCTAGATTTGAAGATTCGAAGGTGGATAGAAATTCAATGAAAGTGCTAAGTGCTTCGTTGGCATAGTTGAGTTGGATTTCTGGATTCTTTTCAGAAAGGCTTAGATCTCCTGCACTCACAGCTCTCGATACAAAAAATAATTTTGAGATGAGGTCTCCTTTAGGGTTGGAGATTCTATTATTAGTGGATCTTCGAGAGGGTGTAGTTTGTAAGCGATTGAGATTTGTTGACCTTTGAGGTCTCGTAATACTTCTAACGGTAGAATTTCTGGGAGTTCTGGACCCTCTTGGTCTTCCTCGTGCCATTCTTAGGCAATTTGGGACTTTGAATGTACACACAGAGTAAAGTGTTGTCTACGGAATTTGAACAAATGTACACTTTTCCTCCCGAGAACGATTTTGTAAATTTGATGTACAAAGGAATTTGAGATATACACTGGGAGATTGGAATGAATTCACATACACTTGGGGAATTTGAATATACACTGAGGATTAAGAATTCAAGCACACACACACACTTGGGAGAAATTCACACTTGGTTCTTTTTGAAATAGGAAAGGGAATGAGTATATCTCTTTTGGTAGTTCAAGAAGAATCTTTAGATTTATGAGGAAAGAGGTAACTGTAATTTGATAAGAAAATTTTCTGATTTTATTTGTTACGAAGAGACGTGAAACCACGCTCTGCTACCAATTTTGTTGGGAATAAATCCCGACAAAGTTAGATTAGAATTTAGGATTGAGAGTTTGCAAAGTGAAGTTGTAAATAAAACACAAGAATTCGGTCGGGCTACGACCGGGGTGCAAAACACCCTATTTTAAAGTTGGTATATCTCGAAACACACACAAGATCTCGCGAAAATCTCGAAGAACGTTCGCTATCGACTCGACGATTCGGACTGCTGAAAAAGGGATGGGTTTGGAAAACAGGAAAACTGTCCTCCAAGGACGAAAAACGGCAAACGGAAGTTAGTAACAAAATACAGCCTTGAAGGCTGTAGAAGGACATCTGTAATGAATTAAAGCCTTGGAGGCTGCTGACCATCTGTGGGAACCAAGGTTTTCCGAGATTCCCACACAGATAAGAAATGAAAGACTAAATTCGTCGGGGAATTCGGGTTCTCCAAAGCTAGCGTGTCTAATTTAATGTATCCGTTAAAATATTTGCGACAACCTGTGCATGGTGGCCAAATTCCAGGATATTTTCGCTAGCAGTTGAAGATCCTTTTGTGGCTGAATTTCAAATGTAAAAACCGACATTCGCGTAGAAATTCATACCATAATGAAAATATTCAAAGCCGTTATATATTCCTGAAGAACGATAGTTTTCGGGGATTTTCCTAACCAAACCAAATTAAATTAGAACCCATTCCGCCATTAGCATATTAGAATTTTGAGTAAAAGTTTCCAACGTTCAGATTCAATTACGAGTATCAGTTCGTTCTGATAATTTTTTTTCGAAAGTAGGGCATGAATAAATTTCCGGGAACTTCGCATGGAATTTTAGTTTTGTTTTTCCTATTGGATTGTAATAATTTTGAATAATATTACGAATTTTTAGAAGCAAGGAATTTCGAAGATTGTGCGGCTGAAAAGGTAGATTTTTTAAATTGTGAGATTTTACTATGAATGTAATCGATTGTCATTCCGACAAGGAAGTTTTACATTCAGCTTCAAAATCAAAATGTATTCCAAATAAAACCAGTTTTTCTCCCTGTTAGTGCTTCAAAAATGATTTGCCCCCGAGATGCTTTTATTGATGTTTTTAAAATATCTGCACAGTTGTTGATTTTAATTTTCAGGATTGATTATTCTTGCATCACACGCTATGTAACCGTGTTTCATAAAATAATAAAATTGAATTCATTTCGATAGGAAGCTTGTCAGTTCATTTAAAAAACCATGTTCTGTTCATGTCGACGGTAACACTTTTATTGACTCACAGGGTTGAGCAAACGCGCGAAATAAAGGGACTCCGCTGCAGTCAGTCCCATTTTATTCTACATGATGCAATTATATTCGATTGTAAATAGTGATCAAGGAATCGTCATCCATTATTGTTGATAAATTATTCAGGATTACAGCACTGCTCTTTGTGTCGGTGGACAAATTAATCAGCCAGGGGGGTGCTATTTTTTTCGGGAATGGTGGAACAATATTTCATATGTCGAAAAATTGCGTTTCAGTGTCAATATGGAACGATGAGTTGTCGTTCATTAACATTCGAGGGTTCTTTTCTTCCTTTTTTTGGTTTCAAGGAATTGGCTGCTGCTGTTCTCGCTAAACGCCATGGAGATTGATGCAAAATTTGTCTTTCTGTTGGAATTCCTTGAGTCATCCCTGCATTTTATTCAATTTTCCGCTTGAAAAATGAGCAGAATTCGAATTTCTTTTGCCATTCATCTTCGCAGAAAATCACTCTGTGGGAATCATGGAGAGATATTTTCTGAGTTCCAAATACATGCATTCATGAGCTATACAACTGTAATTTTCGTCAAGGGAAAAATATTCACGCAAAAATTCCCTCTGAATCTTGACGTTTTCAGAAGGAGAACAGAAACAAGGTTTGCGTTTTGGACAAGGAGTTTAACATTTGTATTGGTTTCTGCGAATGTCAAACGTCTTGAAGTCAAACTTCAAGAGACCAGCAACAAGTTTGAGTTATCAAGGTTTTGAGTTAGGGATTGAAGCTTTTTCGTTTTAGAAAAGAGAGAATAATTGCAGGTAATTTTAATATGTGATTTTCTGGTCCTTAAAATTCTTGTTTAATGAGTTGACAGGAGGCTGAACTGGGATGAGGCAATGATTCATTTGCCCATTTATTCTTTCACTTCCTTTCAAATCACATCCAGTTCAATTTTTATTGCTTTTCTCTTTCCTTTGTCAATAAAAAAATTACCAAACAGCCCCAGCATACTTTTTCTGAGGAGGTTTGAAAGGCAGAGCCTTTGACTTTGGTGGGATCTTGAACTATTTTTTATCGGATTCAGGCAGTAGCTTGAAATTATCTTTTTTTTTTACATAGGCAGGTATTTTACTTTGGAAGGTTTTGAGTTATGATCGAACGCTCCACAGCAATTACAAAAAACATAATTTTGACCCGGTTTTTTTGCACATATTTTCAGCAAAGTCTGGATGCGCCGCGTTTGGCCACTCCTGTTTCGGTGCTCATGGCAAAAGAGCCCTCGGGGTTGCCAACCCGGAAGACGTACTTCCGGAAAATGAAGCCCATCTGATTATGGAAGACGATTTAAGTCGGGAGCAAGAGTCGAAACTGGATGGTCCTGAGTGGAGCAAACTGCTGCAGAGCTCTCCTTTGCTGCGAGCCCTGGTGGTGGCGAATGCGCAGAGACTCAGTGACCGGGTGCTGCTGCAGGATGAAGCTGATCATCAGCAGGATGAGCAAATGCTGGAGGATGACCTCAGATTCAGGAATGTCCGCCTCAGGCCTCATCAGGGGTTCCAAGGCAGAAGGAAACTGGTTAACCGACGTCAACTCCTCATACCTGTGAGAGTCATAATGGTGTTCTTTTTTCTGCATCTGTTGTGTGTTGCTGACCCTTTTACAGGACAAAGACGATATAGTGTATATGCAAAACATAGAGTACATTTTTGAATAATCAATCACAACGAAGTCATTTTTCTGGTCCCCACCCAAGCAATAAGCCTTTTTTTCAATTGTCTCATTATAGGCAGTTATTGGCTTATTATTGGGAATTCAAAATTTATGTTTGCAATGAAGTTTTTGGCTCCTACTGTCAAGGACTTCATTGTAACACGATTTTATTGAACTTGGCTACTGGAAGATCACAGACAATCTCACGTTTATTCAGGTGTTTCCTTGTATTTTGAAATCCTGCAATTCAACCATTCTGCAATTTGATGGTAACATTTCCTTGGAGGTTGACTCGAAATGTGACCTCTGTCCTGTATTCCAACCTGCTGAGAGACACAAAATGTCAATTTTGATGCAGAAAACATTTCATTCAACGTTGTCCCACAATTTGACTGCTTCAAAATTTGACACAACCCTGGCAACAGATCATGGTCAAATTACATGGTATTGAAGTAATTATAGTCATAATTTACCAAACTTTGAAGCCCTGGAAAAGTCCAATTTTTATTCTGTTGACTCTCAATTCAACAATAGCAGAGACAGTTTTTGCTGAAGATATTGCCAATTGGTGAAATTTTTTGGCATTCCCACTATCCCGCATGGAAATTACTTTTAGAGGACATGAACAGCTTATCAGTAGACCAAGAAATTTTTGAACTTTGGCCACTCTGCCCATAAGGATGCATATCCGTGACGTTTTGATTAAACCAAGCACAACTGCATGCAAAGAAAGGCTGAACAGTGGGATGACCATAAACTTCCTCCTCGTTTCCCAAGTGTTAATGGATAACATTTTGAAAGCACCAATCTGTTTAGCTTCCAAGTCCAACCTAAAGGTGTTCCATTGCTGCTGCTGCAAGCACCCGTCAGGTAATCTGAAAAGTTTTATGTCAATAATAAAAAGGACTCTTTAATAAATATGTTGAGCAGGAGAAAAATGGTTTGAAAAATTTGAGGTTCACTTGCAAGTGTCAGCAAAAATTCAGACGGTGCAAACAAAATATTTGACTGGAATACAGTACAATGTACTTGAATGCCTGCTGATTTATGACTACTGTTGCATCTTTTTGAAAAAAATGCATTACATAATATCACTAGTGTGCATTTTGATTTCTGAGTCATGATTTAATAGTCTTTGTATTTGAAAGCCTCTGAGTTCATCATAGAATATTGGACACGTTTTAAATATTGGCTTGGAAATCAAAAATTTAAAAAAACGGTCCGCTTAATCTGACATTCCATTATGACATTTATGGGCTCCAAAAGAAGATACAGTTCAAATTTTGTTAAAACAAATACCCCATTGTTTCTTTCATCGGCATTGAAAACAAAATTACACAAATGAAGACATCAACCATGTTAATAAATGTCAATTCACATACAGAATTTCAACAAAAACAAAAACATGACTCTTCTGTCACATCACAAAGCGGCATAGCTGCCGCATCCGGCCTCAAATGGCCAAGGAAACTTGTTGATCTTGAGGTCAGTGAGCCTGGCCAAAATCCCATTTTGGCAATACTCACTGAGCCCCACACTAGGCCAAGAAGGAATTATCACTTCTTTGATTTTCTCTGAATCCTGAGCAAGGAAGAAATCAGGTGATTTCTTCCTGACCCAGTGTGAGTACCTGAGTATAAAAGCTGGCATTCCTCTCTGATAGGAGAAGTGAAAATCTAGTGTTAAAGGCCCTACCACCTTGAATTGCCTTATTCATTCTTTAGAGCTAACCAACCACCCAATCTTACAATTCATTCTGCCATTCCAAACAGATGTTTTACTAACAGCCAAATGATGATCTGGGCAATGAGAATGGACTCCTCTGGAAATAATTATAGTTATTATTCATAACTTTCATTTTGATGGCTGATGCACATTTCAATTCCTTGGTCTGGGTTCCAATGAACCCATGACATCTTCCTCAAAATTTGTCTTTGATTGGAACCCATGACTTCATATGATGGATTGTCTCATTTTGTTTTTTAGTGCATGATTGGATCTCAACTTCCTTGGTAAAAAAGGAATTTGTTTATTTTCAGAATCAGGACACCAGCATCGAAATGGACCAGAGTTTCATGGAGAATGAAGACTGAATCGCCAGCAAGAAGAAGAAGAAAAGAAGAGCGAGCTGAAGTTTGGCGAAGAGTTCAACTGGACACCTTCCTTTTACCTTCTGTCGCAGTTTTTGTTTTGCCAAATACTACAAAGAAAAATTACCATGCTTCAAAATGGTCATAACATCTGAAAAAGAATGTTTCAAGTTGAAGTTTATTGATTTCAAATTCCTCTCAAGAGTTTTCTTTCAGCAGCTTGAGTTTCTTTTCGTTTTCAACCGAAGTTCCTAATATGGCGTTAATATAATTACGAAAAAAACCTCATCACCTGATTATTCAACGTTGAACATCCTGTACTTTCACTGTCTGCTTGGAAATTGAAGGCAGAGGAATAAAGAATGAAGATATGGAAAAATCATGTTTCGTCATTTTCGACACACCTCGAATAACTGAGGGACAACAAGAAAACATGTTCGTGATGATGTGTAGAAAATTGCTGAAAATTGAGGCTTTTTTCAGAGAATTGTAAGAAAGGCATAGTTTGGTATCACACATACTGTACCTCTAACAGTGATATAGTGCTAGGAATTGTCCTCCATCAAACTGCGAAAGCCCAAAAAATATATTAATAATTATTGAAAGCTTGCTGATCAAAAGGGAAACTCCCCCATCCTTTATTCACTTCCAGTCACAAAATGCAACAAACTTTTTCTTCTTCAAATAATCCATTGCTTTTCCGCTGTTGGAGGTGAATTTTTTTCCTGCGCTTCGATTCACAAAACAAAAAAGAAAAAAAATCCATTTTGGTGCTCCAAAAATTCGGATTACAGTGTCCGATGATTGACCAACATTTTAATTAATCCCAATGCGAAAATATACTATTTTCATTCAGTCCGACAAAGTCGATTTAAGCAGGACAGAAAAAACGCAACTTCAGTTTTCAAACGGTAAACTGAATGAATGTCCAGCTGAAACAGTTTTGATCTTTTTTTTCTTTTCACGAACACTAATCGCTGGGAAATATGAAAAAAATGCTGCCTGAAATCTATAGTCAAGGAAAAAAAAAGAAATTCAATCCTGCTTTTCTCCGTTCAATTTCAAATGTTAGGCTAATTTCGCATTCGTAAAGAGTTAGGTAATCTGAAAAGAATGTTTTTTTATGTGTACAAAAGAAATCAAGGCGCAAGCTTGATCCCAACATGGCAGCGGCCATCAAGGAATGGAAAGCAGGTAAAACTCATAATGCGCCTGCTAAAATCATACGAAAAATACGCGCATTTCTTGTCGAGAGCTTCAGTAACAATAAATCGCCCTCAAAATTTTTGCTTTGCAATTTTTGGTCGTTCCAAGGTATTCTTTTGAAGAACCAACAAGTGAAAACGGTCCTCTTTCACGTTCTGCGCCAAAATGGGGTGCGCAAAATCTCAACTAACCATTTTCAGAAATAGTACACGCGAAAAAACCACCGATTTTGGATTCAAATTCCCGAACAAGGAGAATATTATTGCAACAGTTCCTCGAAACATTGTCCATCACAGATCGAACACCTACCCCCGTTTATTCTAAAGTGTCTCCATCATAGTCTTTAAATAATCCGTTTGTAACCCAAGTTTTCCATTTTCGAAAAACAGGGGGGAAAATCGAAGAATCAAATCGCTTTTAAATGTAGCGGATAATGGTGAAACCATCCATATAGACATTAAAAACATTTTAATTATTGAAAGGTCGCTATTAAAGGACCAGGAAATTTATTTAAACAATTCAGTCAACCCCCGCACAACAGACCTCCTGCGCAATGGATTTTTGCACAAAAGGCTGCCTCATCAGGAAACACAATGGACTAAATCTGCCCAACCGACTTCTGTTGGTTTAAAATTTATGGTAACAAGTGAACAATTTAATTTTTCACTAATTGAAATTGCATAACAGACTTTCACACAACAGACTAGTCTGTTGCACAAATTGGGTCCTTTGTGCAGGGTTTGACTGTACTTAGGCTTTTCACGTACTACAGAATATCTATATCAGTGTTACTCAACCTTTCTTGGCACAAAATTTTCATAATATTTTGTGGACTGTCAAAGTCCCAAAATTTTTCTTATGAATAGGCAAATTTCCATAGAATTTTCTGCAGACCAGCAGAAAGCAGACTGCAGACCAGCAAAGTTTCATAAAATGTTTGCCAGATCAAAACATTTTTTTTAAAGACCTTAAGTCAGGGATTTGAACAGTTTCTGCAAAAAAATTAGGACAAGAACCGATGAAGCTGTAATAGTGGAATGTCAAAATTTTTTTTTTGAAAAGGTGTGTTTGAAGAAAGGTTTCTCAGGAAGAAAAATTGAAATACTTTTTTCAGCAATGGAAAAATGTGTCTGAAATGTTATTATAGGAGAGAAGAAACTTTTTTTAAAACATATACCTTCAACTGTCATCACAATTCTGAAATTTCATCTAAAAATAACAGATTTCATTCCTACTTTTAATCAATATATTCTGCTGAAGAAAATTTCCCACGGTCTAGAGAAAATTATTTGCAAACTTCCGCCGGTACTCCGCAGACCACAGGTTAAGGAATTTCATGTCGTTGATTCGAAATTTATTTTTCAAAGTTAAACAGAAAGAAATGGAAATCCAGGGAAACGGCAATGGAATGGAGACACTTTTCTCGACGAGTTCTTTTCTTCCGGCAAAGGTATAGGTGGATGGATGATAAAAATGATCTTTTCCTCGTCATCCCGAAAAAGCATGTGAAAGAAAGATATGCTCCATAAATTAAAACACGTCGCAACAAATTGGCGAGTGGCAGTTTTGGGCTGGCTCCAACAACAAATTGTCCAACAGAACACATACCGCCTTCTCTTTTTTGTTTTGTTTTTAATTCCCCCCAAAAAGACACACGGCACTTGATTGTACCCGGTAAAACCCTCCTCGTCAACTCGTTATCTAACCTAGATTCTTCTTCTTCTTTTTTACCAAAAAAAGAAGCAAAAGTGGGTCCCAAAAGTTGAAGGACTGATGCTGCTGCTAGACAAACACGTCCTCATAAAACAATCTCCATTCTGTGACCTTTCTTCGAGATCTTCACTTGGCCCGGAAGCAGGTCTTGCTGATGTCCAGTTGCTCTGAACGTGAATAGCACCGAATGTGATGAGAAGTTGGCTTCGAACCTGCGAATAAAAATAAAGCACAGTGTTTTCGAATGATTCCAATTCATCAACTGTTTCTTTCCCTACCGCAAATCTATAAACCGTCAAGTTTTTATGCACAGTCCAACCACTTATTCTAGTCAATCTTGTAACGCGTTAAGGACCCATGATATAACTTTATACATTGAGGCCCCGACATGCGGACGCACCGACATGAAGACTTGGTGACCATTGACAACTTGACAAATCTGCCTCTCCATCCTGAGGCAGAAAATTTCCATGAACACTCGCGAAAATTGAAAAAAAATTGCAAATGTCTTACTTTTAAAAATTTCGATATCTCTTGAACAAATCGCGCTTTCTGTAATCACCAAAATATAATAAAATGTACACTTAAGAAAATTAGCTATACTTCATAATCGAAAAATGTCCAAATTTGTGCATCGTTTTTCAGAGTACTGTAATTTCCATCAATCGAGCACATGTACTATGACTTATTGTGCTTCTTTCGTTTCTTTTTAGGCTTATTCTTACTTGCCAAAGAAGATCACATTTCCTAGAAGTTGGTCTGCGAAAAAGCTATTTTCTTCATCTTGATATTGAGGAAATTAAATTTATTCAATTTTTTGAATCACTTTTTCTCCTAAGTTTCCATCAACAGGAAAACCAAAAAAACATACTCCCATTGCAGTCTAAGGTAACATGTGATCTGACATGCGTACGTTCCGACATACGGACAAGGTTCAAGCACAAATTATGCCCACAATTTGGGCAAATCTGAAAATCTGGGAGTTGTTGAGTCAAATAAAATATTGTAGTATTTTTGGCTTAGAAAAAAGCATAGAATTAGAGAAAAATAAAAAAATGCTGATATTATTTTTTAGTCCTCAAACTACTGGCTATATGAATTTACAGGATTCTGAACTTGAAGGCATTACTATAGATTTGCCCTTTGTTCTGAAAATCAAAAAATTACATTTTTTATTGTTTGTTCTGAAATAACGTTGTGGACTCATTTTAATACGCTTTTTCACGCGTATGTACTGTACAATACTCTAAAGGTTCAGATGAAGAACAATTAATGAACCTTACTCGGTAGCAATGTTGACTTCCGGTGGCTTCCCAGTGGCATTTTGTATCACAAGAAACAACTTGGTGATGATCTCAATGACGTGTCCAGTCTGAAAAATGAAGTCGCCCTTCCTGCGACTGATGTCTGGCTGGAACAAACACCCACTGGTCATTCCAGCTACATTCGGCGGTGGATTCACTGTCGTTGAAGTCATGTGCTGGCTCGCAGAGTTTTCCGACGTCGGACTCGACTAAAAAAAAGAAAAAAAGAAATATATCCACTGTCATTTTTGAATGTTGAAGAACTCTCGAATAAGAGTCCCCACAAAAAGCTTCCACCCTAGTCACTTCAGCAGCAACCGCCAATTTATTTTTGAAAAATAATTTTCCCTAATAATAAAAACATTGAAAACTCTCCGGAAATTCCACCCGCACAAATTATTGGCGACTCCAATATGCTCCTGAACACTAAGTTTGCCTTTGAGACCCCGCCAACATGATTAAAGTTTCTGTCGCGGGTTCACAGGTAGAAAACAAACATGAAGATACGGTATATACAGTAATTTACTTCTTGGGACCATTAAAAATCGCGTTAACACATGGAATATCCTCATTTAAAATTTCCCGTAATTCTTTCAAGTTTTCTTGCACCAAAAATGCTTGCTATCCCAACTAAAATCCTCTCTAAGTCAAATATCCCAAAGTAAAATTTTCTGATGGTCCTTTGAAATTGCACTTAGGTTTGACTGTACCATTATTGGAACGCTGGGGATAATTGCAGTAATAATGAATGAACTTTGAAGAATGGAACTTTTCATGCATTAGGAATCTAGGATTCTTTAATTCATTGCTCCATGAGAATCTTGAGCACTTCTTGGGTGGAGGTTTTTCAGATTATTGTCAAAGAAACAATTCGGGTAAGAAAGTAAGAATATCTCAAGACCCTTTGGTTAGATCAACTTTTACTTCCCAGGAACTTCAGAAAAAACCTTTAGCTTCAATTTAAGACCTTCTATGATTTATGTGCTTTAGTAGGACACAATGTGAGTGATTTTGTCATGCATGGAACGTTTTTCTTCTGGCAGTAAGAGTATTTTTGTTACCTGTGAAAACTAGTTATAATCCTGCACTTACCACTTTGACATGCACAATGGCAATGTCATCAAAAAATGGGGACAAAGACAGCCTGTAGATGTCAGTAGCTGGCACCCTGTACTTGATCTGCATTGTCCTCTGGTCCAAGATCAGCATGGCACTTGTAGAAACCACAAACAGCACCGGTACAAACTATGAAAAAAAAAGACCCATGAAAATCACCGATAAAATCTGTACAATTTCTTCGTAGAACGTTTGCGAATTTCTGCACTGGACGGTATTTATAGAAAACTGAAAGTTGTGTGATTGATGGGAAAAGTATCAACATGATGGGATATAGAAAAATCTCTTACTCTGCCAGAAGATCGGTTGATTTTGTTGATTATATCTGCAAATACCACATATTGGTCACCGGTTTCAGCGCACATTTTCTTCCACTGCACGTTTTGCCTCAGCCTCACATAGTCTCCGAGAAAAGGATGACCAATGCTGGTAAAAAAATTAGAAAAAGGGTTATTTCCTATATAATTGCACACTTGTTATTGAATATCGTCGGTTTCCTTTCTAAAAATTCCGATCGTATCATTTCAAATAACCAATCGATGTTCACAGCAGGCGCTCCTAAATCATTCCAACTTTTTATAAGCTTTCATTCTCGATTGAAATAACTGGATTCGATGTTTTCCAATCGAGGTACTGTACAGTAAAAACTTTCTCAAAACAATTCAACAGTATATTCCTGCCATTCCTTGATGTGATCCGAATTGAAAACATGTTTCAACTCGAAAAGAAAGTGACGCAATATTATTCATGGTGGCTTGAAGTGATCTTATCATTGTAAAAAAAAAAAAAGTCACCATACCGTACTAGCAGTACAGTACTGCATTTGATTTTAGAGTTCTAGACTGAAAAAACGGACTCAATGATGTCCAATTAAAATGTAACTGCTCTCATATCATAACTCCACAGTTGATATTATAAATGTGCGCAAGATGTTCAGACTTGGATTAGAGCCAGCCTATTTATTATCAGTATTGCCTATAAATAATGGGTCGAATGTCTAATTATGGAATCGATATACTCTTATGCTATTGAAATCAAATTCAATCCTTCACTCAACCATACCTTCTGGAATAAGAGGCCTTCCTGTCTTTGAAAATAATGCTTGCAGTCACCTTCTCTCGCATCCGATTCCTTGCTGTCTGGTCGAACCTCATCCGATACGTATGACACTGATAATTATATACAAGTGACCAATCAATACAATAATAAGAAAGGCTCTCAATAATAATTTGAAAATAATCCAGATAATTACCCTCCATTTGTGATGAAGCTTTCTCAGCAGAATTGATGCCTCAGTAAACCTTCTGGGACACGGAGGCCAGTCTTTGCAGAGGGGTGAACTTGATGGCAATCGACGAACCAAATAAAGCAACCAGTGCCTTTTCTATGAAAATAAAACAGAAAACAAATTACATCACGCATAATTCAAAATTCACCATACACCTTTAAACATTTACAATGCAATTTTACTGTATGCATATTCTTCTTAATCCTTGTGCAACAAATGTAAAAGATTTTGAAAAAGTTTGTGCCACTCAGCACAAAACATTTGTTTTCATTTTCACCGAGGCCTAAGTTATTGGGGGAGGTCCATTTTTTCTAATCCTGCCAAAACTATTGAATGAAAGAATCCCTCACTGGGTAGCATTTTTCCTGCATTCCTGGTTTACAATTTGCATGGGAAATCCTGAAAACTATAGAAAATTTTCCTCTGGGATTTTACAAACTTATACCTTCTCAATCTGGGTGCATTGCACAGATTTCAGTGACTTTTGGTCAAACTGAAATGCACCACCACCCCCCCCCC